TCAATTTAAATCTGCTTCCTTTAGAGGCAGAAGCAGTGTGAGTACAAGTTATTTAGTTGGCAGTGTGTGCATCGCATATAACATCTTTTTGATGCATCATCATAGCTTGCCAACTGGGTATGCAGAAAATCAATGAAAACTTAAATGCCTACCGCTTATTGATCTGCTCAACGATATTCCGTAAATTATTTCCAAGGAGTCAAAAGCTAAAATTGCGTAAAGAATACGCTTTTCAATAGAAAAGAAACAGGCATCTAAAATTATGAAGCAAAAGTAAGACATATATGCACTCGCAATGTTGGATATTTAGACATAGAAGAAATAACTTGTGTACGGCTGTATGAAATGGCAATCAATGGTTTATTCAGCCGGAATAGGCAGCATGCGTAAACATACATGATCAACACTGAATACTTAGTGTTGTATCAGGTCCACAGCCAATGCCAAAGCAAAACTCCTGAAAGAGCAAGTTGTGTGCCCAGCTCGGTTTTCCGCATCCTGGTAGCGATAACTTCTGATTAAAACTGCCCTGCTTGACTGAAGTAAGACAGTAAAGAACGTTAAGAGCCCCATACTGCTACGCTTGGTAAAAACTGGCCATCAATTTCTGATGAATACATCTTTTATTGTCGTTTATAAAACCCCTAGACGATGCCAAAAGAAGCTTAAAAATATGTATTGTTGCCTGGTCCGATAGAATAATCCATTTTTGATCTTTCATACAATTGTCCACAAGTGTTCGTAATTCTATATTCGTTTATCCAGCTGCAAATAAGCTTTTGCGAGATTATTTACGTGTTGAGTTTGCTTCTTAATTGCAGATGCATGAAAGGATTTATCCAGAACATTATTCGCCTAATTGTTAATTTGAAATATATACTAAAATGGAATCCGGTCAATGTAGCAACTATTTGCACTGCAGCGACCAAGTTGGGCTCCGTACTGCTGCACAATCAATGTTTGTTAACAGAACTATTAAAAGCGTGATTGCTTGTTTGTGAGTTTTCCATTAGAATTTAAATAATGAATAAAGCCAATCGGATTGCTCCTAGAGCTTCCTCTCACGTGGTGCGTTCCAATCATGGAAGCCGCGGCCGACTTCTATCATCTCACCACCTACGTTAATCGAATCAATAAACACGACGCTATGGTGTATTCCTCCACACGCATTACATTAGTTTAGCCCAGTTTTCGGGACACAGCACACAGTAAGCAAATTATACGCACATGTTCAACTTACATTAAGCCTGCCGATGCGCGTTGCATTTTCCTCTACATAACATCAGTTGTTTGCCCACTTTACTTACGACCTTACTCAGGTCTGGTGCTGCCCCATTAGGCTCTATAATACGAACTAGAATTAATCATGCTGCTGATTCGTTATATCTCACATGTCCGTTCATGTTGCGGGCAACGGAATCATGTTTTTGCGGGGCTTTAATTGGCAACCTATTTTGTGCCTACGCGCAAAATCGTCCAGAATAAATTTTCGGTTATTTTCTTGCAATTTCCACAAATTGCTGGACCGTTTTAAGCTACTTCTGCTCCAGCGATACAACATTTGCCAATTTCTAGTGTGCGTGATAAGCCCACCATTCCACTTATCTATTAGTTCAGTATCAGTGATGAGTAGCTTATCGGTTAAAGTAACCAGAACTGAAAGTGAGCCCGCAACTCAAGTATTTCTTCCACTTGTGTCGAACTACGAGTTTCACAATGCTGACTAGCTGAAAGCTGACACTGACATTCTATGTAATTACCGCAGTTTAGAAAGATTTTGTCCAACTAAACGACACTGGTTCCCAGGCCAGCCTAACGCGTCCGGCATCACGGAATCTGATCATGAGTTTGGACCCAGCAGAGCGCCGTCGATCAGCGCCAAAGAGAAGAGAGAGCGGTCTAGCGCGTTTTATATTATGTGGCAATTGTCAGAACTAAACAATTTAATAACTTGAAAGTACTTAACCCTCAATGTTCTCATAGTACATTGGATCATTCACTGCCATCTAAAGACACGTTTGTTACTCAAAAACGTACCATAGAATTCCGGAGCGCTGGGCTAATGCTAATACCGGATCTCAAAGGTCTAGTGGTGAGAAAGTCATTCGTCAACGAACTCGTCTCGAGTTCCAGACACACTATATCGGTGACATTCGGATATACACTTAGTGACTTTAGTTATCAATGTTTACTTTATTTAAACTGATATACCAAATTTGAAGAACTGCATTTTTTCTACAAGTGTAATCGTTTTGCATATCGGTATTCCCGAGCTGAACCAGAACATATTTGACTAATTATCAGACATTCCGAGATATATAGAAGAAGCACGGATAAAAACGTTATCCGGATAAGCAATATTGACGTTAAATTCAAGCAAAGCCAGGTTAGAAATTCCCCTAATGTTTATGAATCAACCAATGCAAGATAAAGGAACGTGAAACTTTACTCACCTTTAATATACAGCACTTTCTCAGGTGTCACAGAGACTAAGGGGCTGTTGTCCGTCGACATTATCCCAAGTCGAATAAGATGTGGTAGTACCGATCATTTAAATTACATCACGCCATATGCCAATCAGCCGTTAGACAGCCCACCTGAGTTTGTTTCTGTGGAGAATGAGGCTTGGTGTGTGCGGCCATGCACTCAGGTACTATGTACCTCAAACGCACAAACAGTCTATGTTTTCACGCACATGTGCACTGAAACAACGGCTATAGTTGCTTGTCCAATAAGCTGCCACGGAATATATGTGTGCCACCTTCTGCGTGCTTTCGTTTAGCTCCAGGTTTACACCACGCACTCATTTCAGCGGCGGCTGTTGGACGCGAGCCATTTTGCATCCTGGTTATGAAACTAACTATGGATTACATTCGTTGAGTATGTGTGGGTGGACGGAAAATAGGTAGGAAAACTCAAGAGATGCTGCTCAACATGCTGAAGTGCCAGTCTTATCAGCTAGCTGCATCCTCTTGGGACTGGTGATGAATCAATTTGAAGATCCGAAGTATGCGAAATCGGATTTTGGCATTTATCGAAAATTGCAGGAATGTCGAGAAATGAACGAAATGCATGAGGTATTGTGATGCCAGTCTTGATGTTATTACCAATCCGGTCCCCATCAGAACAGAACTATTCCACTTCAGCTCTTCTTAGAGGGATGCAGGTTTGTTGGCTATGCTAGTGCCCTCGTGATAAAAGTTTATGGGTCTACTAACTGTTTATCGAGGACGCCAAACAGGCGTCCAGCAGAAGCAAGCCACATGAGAGACGACGTACAACGCATACATGATGACAATGCAATAGTTAAAGTCGGTATGAAATTCCTGACAGTTTTCTTCACCAAACGAGGCAAAAGCGCGATTGTGGCATAGGAACCACTGTGAGCGTCTAATCATTGTTGGTATCCGAAAACGCAGCACTATATAATACAAGACGACGAAGCGATATTCCAACTACACTCCAGTATAATAGTGCAGATAACAGAACCGAAGGGGTTTTAGTTTTGAGCTTATCTTTGTTGCATATACTCAACTGTAAAAGATATAGTAGCATACCTTGCTTACACAGTGGAAGTACTTAACTTCTGATAAGGCGCAAAGCAGAGGACAAGTAAAGTAAAGTAAGAGACAGGGGCGGGATTGTCGGATATAAGTTGGTGAGCAGGATAATTAACATAATTCATGTTCAATGTGTTGCACTGAATGTCTCAGGGTGTGTCGGATAGTGACACTTTGATTGCGCACTGGTACGAAACTGCAGGATTTCGAACAGGCAGTACAGAAAAATCGATTTACATTGAGGCGAACCAGTGTTTTATTGCCATAAAGCACGCCGACTACAAAAATGAAGCAAGGGAATTATCCATTCCTTTGAAGGGATATCGAGTGGTCTGTTCCGACTGCAAATCAGCTGACAGATTACTACCAACTAAACGAGTTAATCATAAATTGTCAGTATGTAAAACTTCATCTTGTATTTTGGATTCGCATGGACATCTGGTTAGATATATAAATAAATAATAACGGTTTATCACTCTACAGTGCGGAGCACACTCCAAGTGAATAACCTGATCAATATTTAAAGAGGATGGCATAAGGCAGAAGGGTCTTCGGATTGCCAATGAGCTGTGAATTGAGTGTATTAAAAAGACTTTGTTCAGTGCGATCAATGCAAACTGGAGGTATAGCAGATTATTCTACTAAGCAAAATGACTTTCCGTGGAATCGCGGCCAGGAGAACTACTTCCATGCAGGATGTTGTCTCCTAAGGTTCCCCTAATAATTCTGTGTCCAATCCGGGTGGATACCATTGGGACAAGCTACAATAAAAGCTATCATATTTTATTGCATTTTAGGACTGTATTTTTGCATACGTTATGGACAACGAAGAAAAGAGCTCGATCCGTCATACGGCTCTTAAGAACATGTCACCCCTTTTGTCAAATTTCAGCGGGTAATTCGGAATTCAAGTTTCCTAATTTTTTCGTGGGTAAATTGATGAGTCCGTAGGGATGGTTTAAATGCCGCAACTAATATCCCAACTCAGCACCACCCGTTGATTTCGATTCCTGATCCAACAAGCAAGCAAATTGAACAGCTTTATGATAGGTGCTGGGAAGTCAGCGGAATGTCGAAGTTCGTAACCCCTACAGATCAGAACATTTTTATTTTGATTATGACCATAATTGGGCTTCCGTCTAACAAAATGACAAAGTAAATGAAACTTCCCAAACTCAGATAGAGTCCACTGATTATAAATGAGAAACCTCCATAACTACGCTATTACTGGCATGATCTCTAATCTATTGGGTGAGTGTGCCACTTAAAAAATGGTTACATTAGCGTCATACTTCTCCGCACTGAAATTCATGATCTCTACATTGTGCTAAATTTGAAATATTAATAATGCTCGTCGGCTTTTGAAACCTTCCACAGTTTTGGATTCACTTGATGATGACATGATGAATCCTTCTGGTGCTTTGCTGTCGCTAACGTTAAGTGTTTAGACTAATGACAATTTGTACCACAAGCTATATTTTAGAAATGGTGAACGATATTATTTCCACGTTGATACAGGTAGTGTGAATACATTATTTACTAAATTCAGTCATACTCGAATTTATCCTTATATGCTGTTACGTCAGTCCACTGTTACCATCCGAGGTATAACTGGCCATACAATTCCTGTATATGGCTGTTGCATTTTGCCTGTATAATAAAACAACTTAATTGTGTTCATCTTAAGTTGTTGTCACAAAGTAGAGACCATCCATTTCTGCGTTAAAAACTATGCAGCCACTAAAATAACGTACTACATATTTGCCGGGGGCTGATACCAGGTATGAAATCCCGGCTCCAATACATGGCTTCCCAAAAGCACTGGACGCTATGAAATTTTCAACAGCATACATTGCACTTATTATAGATTCTGTTTCCTAAATTGCGAATTTTGATACATGGACTAAGGGAGGCAATCCAGAAGCTCTCATGCTCTTGGTGTATTTACGGAGTACCTGTATCAACGCAGAGGCCCCGACCGCAACCCATTGTCCCACCAGTGAAGTCAGATTGTTGGACATCCAGATTCTATGATGAATTGCAGAAGACCCTTAATACAAAACTGTGTCAGCGCAGCGACCAAACAACGAAACATGAAGCCTTTCACACCCGCTAATATGGTTCTGGAATTTTCGAGAAAGTGAAATTAAAGGATGGTTGGTTACGAATATCATTTATTAAGTCATCCAATACACTAACTACTGTTATTACGCTTTTCGTTATTTATCGTTATCGCTTTCCTCCTTTTGGGCTTAGTGATTCTCAAGAGATTTTTATAGATGTTATTAATTCACATGTGAACCGTTTAGGATGCGCTGTACTCTAGCATGTTGATGGGCTTTCACAAAATACTGAAAACTTTGCTCATACTTTTCGCTTATTAGCTCTAATAAAATGTTGTGAAGACGCTAATTCCAATGTGTATCATAGGAAGTGTGTAATCTGTGTTAGGAAAATCAGCTGTCTGATTTACCACGTTATGTCTCATAGATTTATCCTTGGTGTACGTCATCTGAAGCCACTGATTGACTCAAATTCCACAACGAGCGTTCATGAAATAAGACCATTGATGGGAACCTTATAATACTACTCAAAATGTATATGAATGATTCTATTGTTGATCTGAGCTGTTTACTGGACGCCAATCATTATATAATTCATCGGGCATGAAGCAATGCTGCGGAAGATACTAAGCTCACCCAAGTTTGACTTCGTTCTTCTAAATTTTCGCCAAACTTCGTAACTTTTTCATTCTAGATGCCACTTCAATTGGCATCGTTGTTGTGTCAGAACAAGAACGTTAACCAACTTTTTGCAATTCTCAATGACGCAACGAAATTGCGATAGGATACACGCATACGCGTCCTAAAGTATGTATTACGTTGAGACTTGACTGCATGAATAATGGAATGAAATGAACTTCACCAGGATGATGCTTCAAGAAGCCATACATTTATCTAAATTCATCTAGCTAGATGGGAAAATACTCTGATGCGATGGTTCACAGATGGAGCAGAAGGCTCAGTGCTGATGACTATGAGAGAAAATACAGGATGACCAAAATGATTCTCCATATGGTTTTCTTTTATGGCGTGCTTGATCTTTTAAACCTGATGGGGAAGTTGATTACTTACTCGCGGAAATAATCATTATGTACCACGCAACCCTTGGTGATGAATCCAGGAAACGTTTTGGCCCAATACTTTCAGCTTTAGAATGTGACTTGTGGCATTTTTAAAACAGACATCTGTCCAGTTTTACCAACATCGTGTTAAATTATATTATTCCTTATGTCTTGCAGTGTGTGTCAATGATCATACTGGAATTCCCCGGACTTTCGTGCCTCAGTTGCTATCATCGACCTTCAAATTCAGCCTTTGATATTGTGATTGTAATAATGTTACTACGCTTTTTATTGTGGATATTATTTTTCCACCAGTTTCTACAACTTATTTTCCTTTTGTGTAGGTGAACCAATTTAATCTTGACGTAATCTGTTGATCGTTTGGTCTCCCTCCACGAATTGTTTGGACTTCACCTCTAATCAAATACGGCAACAAATCAGAAGTATCTTCAAGGGTATTGTCACGAAATACTTGTTGGTAACGAAAATACGGTGTTGGTTGGCAAGCTTAACTCAGGCGCCTTCCTGCCATCAAAGCCAAAGCTCTGCTTATCCTCTCCGCTAATGTTCAAACACTACTTGGGAAAATGGATGATCACGAAAGCTTTACAAAACAAACCGAATTCTCAAACGCAAGTATGATAAGATTAAAGGAAGCTTGGTTACATTTCGAGTTTAAAGATGGAGTCGTGAAACGAGATGGATATCGACACATCAGATCGGACCGCATAGGAAACTCTCACCAAAGCGGTGTGATCATGTACATTAGCGGAGATTGGTGCACATCTGTTTTACAGCTTTCCACCTGCTTAACGGCTTCAATAAGTTCCCAACTATTG